ACCCGGGTGGGTACAGGGAAGAAACAAATAATTTGGATAGCCAGGAGAAACACCCGATTTCCACGACAGACAGAGCCTGTGGCCACAGCAGAGCAGCTCCCCGGAGCAGCAGGCACACAGCCCAGAGCGGGGCACGTGGGGAGCACGTGCTGCTGAGGTGGAAAATTAGGAAGAAAAAAATAAATTAAAATAAGGTGTTAACAGTGCTGCAGTGCCCAGGTGCAGACACTGAGCAGTCAAGGCGCAGAGCACGCAGGGGGTAACCACCTCCCCGCAGTTGGCCGTGTCGTGCTGCGAGGCAGAGCAGAGGGCTGGGCACATCCTTCATCCCTCCTCACGCCACTGGGAATCACCGAGTTTCCCCAGGAGAAAGACCAGACTTGACCCGTAGGCTGGAAGGGGAGGACACAGAAGGAAAACACCTGCCCATCGCCCGGATTGCCCGTCCTGGTGCAGCCAAACTCACCAGCTTCAGCCACCCATGGAAACACAAGAGCTACCACAGACGGGCTCTGAAAGCACCAAATTTCTGTTCAGAAGGAAACCAGACTACAAACTTTGAAGCCAGCGGACAGTGCATCATAACAGACCCAGGATAACACCACCCCACTCTTCAAACCGGGCTGGGGCAGCTCCTCGCCCCTGAGATCCGCATCCCACCCACGGGGCGACCACGGAAGCGGCCGAGCCCAGGGCAGGGCACGATGAGCGTCCCCACTCCCAGAGAGAGACGTGCACCTGCTGCATTTCACAGCAGGGCTGCGTTGCCACGCCGAGATCTGTCCTAAGGGACCAGAAACATCCTCAGGGGCCATCAAGCAGCTGGATGCAAAGCGAGACGGAAGGACAGCCCCGCCGCTGAGCTGATACACAAAGGCGTCGCTCGCCTTCCAGAACCAAAGGCGAAAAGCGCTTCCAGGACGATCAGATTGAGACAGACGGAAGAAACAAAAAGCTGTACTAAAAAAAATGTGGAAAATTTAACAATATCCAGAATTACCGCAGGTCTGTGGGAAGTGTGAGGACAGGAGCAGGGGTGGAATCCCACAAATGACTCGAGCAACAGCTCTTTCAGGCTTATTTGGTCAGTTTTTGAAGCAAATGCTAAAGAACCTTTCCCCAAAGGCCGTTTATCTGCGTGCTTCCTATAGCAGAGATTTTTCCAGTCTCTGGCAGTGTTTGCTCCACTGGTATCTAAGGCAACAGAATTGAGCCCCATGAAATCAGCCCCACTCCTCACTAACGACGTTAGCCAGTCCTGCAATGAAATTTAACCTGTGACACTGCTGTACTTTTCATTTAAACTTTCATTTGGAGAGAAGCAGTGTTTGGAGACCCTGCAGTTTGTCCTGCTAATAAAGACAAGTGTTGGGACCTTTAAAGGTGCCATTCATCTTTTGCCTTTATTAAATTCAATTTTCTTAAGCCCATGATACATCATGAAATTAAGAGTTGACATTCCAGCAGAAACAAAAAATATCTATCAACCATAAACAGAAAGAGGAGGGAAAAAAAAAAAAAGAGGCCTCTATTACCAAGAATTTATGGCTTAAAGTTGATCTGTTTCCACTTTTTTTCTCTCTCTCTTTTTATTTCTTTACAAGCATATGGTTTGTTTTAGATATCCAAAACGTTATTACAGATCTAGAATTTCATTAGTGATTATTACGAAATGGTGAGCACCCTGACACACACACGCACAAGCCCCCAGCAGACCGTGATGCAGGAGGGCAGCCGGGCGCTCGCTCACGTTTCACAGCAGCCGGGCGAGCTCAACACACTCGGCTCCATCGCCACCCTCAAGGACCTTCACTGCTGCTTCCCAGGTGGGAAAAGTGGCCGAGAGCGGCACAAGGGAACTGAAGGGAGAGGTTTACTCTCGCTTCCTTTATCAGAGTCGGAACATCCGTAAGCGTTACCTTGAGCTCCTCACCCGTTTCCACTTCCAACCCTGAGTACACGTTCCAGCTTCAACAGTGATTTGTGCCAGCACCACTCGGGGCTTCTAAGTCTCCCTCTCAGAGCACCACCAGAAGTTACGGATGTGCTGAAATCATGCTGAGGGTGTCCAGAGGCTGCAAATAGCTGCAAGCTACCAGAAGAACAAATGCACCCATTTGGATTTTGCGAGCATTGCAATTAGGTATTTTATTTAGCACTGCAAAGTAACTTGAAAGGAAATCCAAGATTCAAAACGCCAGCAATAAATAAGAGGCTTTTTATTTTCCTTTCATTGTCAGGAAAAGTTGAACATGTTTTCTGTTGAGAAATTCTGCACGCAGCTCCCAATTACAGGCATTTGCATTTATATTGTTGGAACACGGAGCTTCCAAAATCAATATTAACACGCTTAAAGAAAAAGACATCGGCACCCTGTCCCTCCCCTCAGCTGTGCCCCCAAACACGGTAATGATAAGAACCTAGAGAGCCGCAGGCTTATGCATATCCATTACCAGGTCCACTCTCTTTATAAGAATCTTACATTTATGATTTCATGGTACTTCAAGCACATCTTTGTGACAGCTTGCTCAGAATTTTTGCCTTTAAAAATACAATTCCCCCCCAAAAGGGGTCCCAGGAGGAAGCACCCCGTGCAACGTGGCCGTCCCAGGCCCATGGGCTGTGCAGCAGCAAGAGGCTGTAGGGACTTCCTTCTGAGAGGGATTCGAAAAATTCATAAGGGCTTGTGAAAGCGTTGCTATAGACCCAGCCCTTCCTCATCCAACCATCCTAAACCAAAGTCCCCTCCCTTTAACACCAGAGCAGGGATGCACAAATTCAGCTGTCTTCATCTTCTTGCTAATAAAAGAAATGAACCTGCACACGACTACATTCGTTAAATAATTTCCTGTAACAAACAGATCTCTCGAGTTCAGATAATAAAGCACCTGAAGTTACACTAATTCCCAGAGAAGAATCTTTTTGCTTATCCTTTTGGACCTGTGGAGCACTAACATCGTTAGACAAAAAGAATACAGTACCCAGCAAGAACTTTCCGGCTCTCAAAACCTTTTCATTCAGAAGCTCACGTACGAAGCGGACAAGGCACACTTCGGGACACGAGGTTATATATTTGAGGAAGACCATGCGACCTCTTCAAGTCTGAAAACTAGCCGAAAATAATTTATCCCTTACTCCCACCCCCACGTGAAGAAGTTGAATAAACACAAGAATAAAAGACATCCATAAAAATCAGAGTTGACTGTTCAAAATGCAATAAAAACAAGCAGAGGCTGTTGAGAGAAAAGGGGTTTTTTTCTGATAAGGAAAAGCATAAAACTTCCTACCAAAAGGCCCGTTTATACCTTCCAAAAAGGTACAGGCAGAGGAGGCAAGGGAGTCTCCATGGAGGGACACAGCCTCAGCACCAGTTCATTCTGTTCAGGGATGCTTCCCTCTCTCCCCCTCCCCTTAAAGAAAAAAAAGTCATTTTATGCACAAGGAGCTTATTTCTTAAACAAACACTAGTGTTTTTGATTTACACCACAGGCTGCTCCTAAATAATTTATGGCGGGTTAAATTTATTGCACAGCCCTGGCCGGCTGCAAATTCGAATTGCCAAATAATTAGATTTTAGGGCAATGCTTATAAATTATCCGCCGATTTGTCCGGACTTGTTTGTCAGTTGCTTTGTGCTTCGGGTCA